ATATATATATATACAGTATATTCTTGCAAAGCAGGAATTCAACTGTAATTTCCTACAACAGCTCACAAAGACTTATCTGGCTTCATACTTTAATAACTGCTTTTTCTAATGAGAACTTTATAATGCTGAGTTGTTACTTTTATTTCATGGTGTCTGAATGTGCAACATTTTGGCTTGTGTTACACATATTGGACTGCTTCTTAGAAAAGACTATAAATCTAATCTACTTTTGTGAAATAGTTATCAGTTTGATACTTAACACTAAAGCTGTTTAACCAGTTCAGCTCTGGGAAATCAAACATATGTTAAGTTAAGCAAACATGGATTTATCAATGAAAAAGCCATCCTTTTTAACTAGTAAGTTTAAAAACGTATTTAAAATGAAAGAATGGGGACAGAACTTGTGTGTGAGAGAAGAAGAAAAGCAGACAGAAACTTAAGACATGAGGTTGAAGTCATTAGCTGTTTTTGTGCTTAGTGTGCTGCAAAAAAATAAAATGTCTTCCTGCAACCACGGAACTGGATAGTTTTGGGTTGCCTTCAAGAGAAACAACCTTCTCTCACTTAATAACATGTTATAGATTCAAGGAGGGGCCCATGCTCCAGCTTAGTCTGGACCTAATTCTTCACACCTRGCTCAGACAGCCTTCGTTCCTCCTGAGGAAAACTAATATCACTCTCTGGAGAGGTTGCACCACGCCTATAAATTTCCCCTTTTTAGGGGCCTAATCAAATCAACAGAGCCTCGACAGCTCAAGAGCTTTACTTGTTTCTTTCTTTGCTCTGTCAATATAATTCCCAGCACCAACTGTGGCACGAAGATTTATGTAGTAGACATGAGTTGTATGTTTGCATAACACAGCAGTAACAGAACTGTGAATAATTCTGATAACAGCCACAAAATCTGCAGCTGACTATGAATAGGTCACTGATACKGTTTACAGGAAGTCATTGAAGGGAGGTATAAATCAGTTTACATAAAGGTAATAAATTCTTRGAAGCTAAACAATGTGGAAAACAATCAATGGCACTTTTAGATGCAATGTTTTAAATACAAATCTTGCCTTTAGAGGATTTCTTATTAGGTTAGTTTATCATCTTAAACATACTCTAGAGTTCAGACAGTGCAGTGAAGAAACACCTGTTAATCTGAAAGAATGTCCACAATAGAGCTATAACTTTGACTATCACAGCAATGCATTAACATAACATCATATTTGGAGAGTGAAACATACATTTGTTCTGTTAGTAACAAACTGTCAATCCATGTYTTCATTTTATTTACTCACTTTTTCCTTTCTTGGTCACGAGTGAGCTGTTATCTGTCTCCAGTGGTSACTGTGCAAGAGTCACTGTACATTCTGGATAGGTCAGATGTCCATCACAGGGRCACAAAAAAGACCAAAACTATTCACGCTTTCACTCACACCTAGGGACAATTACCTTAACATGCATGCTTTTGGTCAGTGGAAGGAAACTGGAGTAGAATGGGAAGGCCCCAGGCCGGGAGGTAAACCTGCAACATCTTTGCTGAGGCCACCGCATCTTACCATCACACCACCAAACAATGTCAATAAGCAAAAAACACATTCTAACAAAAAATAAAATACAGATGGCACCATCACTTSGTAAAAATGTCTACAATAATGACATCAAACCCCAACATACTGTAGGGGTCACCWWGAGTGAAGAAACAAGATTTTCTGCTTCTAAGCAGGCCTCAGACGGGCCTGACAAGAAGACAGGAACTCTGTTACAAACTGAACTCTATTTAGGCCATGACAGGTCATTCTAACCGTGGAAGAGAACCCCTCAGTTCTCTTAATCAGATAATGTACAGAACAATCTCTTCTGTTCGTGATTCATTTGTTGTTTAACTCAGAATGTTTATGCATTTGTTAAATCATGATAATGCTTGTCACAGGAAAAGTGACACGACTTCTTTTCTTTTATCATGCCTTAAAGATTTATGATGGTATAAAAAATCACAGAGAATCTGATTACAATGTTTTCATTGTGTTTTTATGTAAATCACTGTTTTTATTTTACTGTGAACACAGTAATATAATTTTCCTGAGAAAATCTTTCATTTATCTGGACTAACAGAAGGTTCAGAACTGATTATAAAACAGAAATGTTAATTAATCATCATAAATGTTTTGCAGTGATTTCTCTTAGTCTATCAGAAGAAAGCTGAAAAGAGGTTATCATATCATGTTGTTGAACAACCACAGAAGTTTAACCTTGGGCTGGCGCCGGCTGGCAAATCTTTATTTTTCTTTCTCTGACTCATCTCTAAGCCTGAGGGCAGAACCAAAGTTTTCGGTTTCTTTTACTAACCCGGATGGCTTTGAGCGTCACACTCTTCTTCCTGATTCCAACCMAGGAAGACAGCTGGGATTCTCTCCGGAGAAACCTCAGTTTGGCCTAAAGTCTGATCCCATGAGCTAATTAGGGAACTCTCTGGACAGTTTTCTGGARATCCCACTGGACTTCTGTGTTTTTTGTCCTGAGTTCCCCTGTCTCGTGTTTGTGTTCCTCATGTCCTGTACCTCTGTCTTTTCGATGTCGGGAGCTGTCGTTAAGGGTGGGGGATACTGMCATAGACTGTATTCATTTTCCTTGGTTTTCCTAGTGTTTTCTATGTTCCCCTGTGTGTCTCTGCTCAGCTGCCCCACATTACCTTGATGATCACCCTRYTGTTTCTCCCCAGGTGTTTTCTGTTCATTCATTAGTTGTCAGTGTATTTAAGCTCTGTCCTGTCTCAGTCTTGTGTCGGATCATTGTGTTTTGTTCCTGAGCTTTGTCTCCCTCGTGCCTGTGTTTTTGAGAACCTGTAAGTGATTTTTGAGCTGCTTCAACATCATTTTCTGTTATTTAATAAATCTTTTTGTTCCTTTTTTTGAACCTGCCTGCGCCCTGGGTCTGTTCCTACTAAATCCTTATATCGCTGGAGCACAGGAAGCAGTGGAGGCTTTGACCCTCATCGGAGCACAGTAAGTAGTGGAGGCATCTAGCCTCACCGGAGCAGAGATGAGGTAGAGGCATCCAGCGTCGCCAGAGCGCAGGTGTCTGTAGATACATCAGTCCTCTCAGGTGTGCGCAGTATGCAGGAGGCAGAYGTATCGATCCTCCTGGAGGCGCTGAGAGTGCAGGAGATAGAGGGATCGATCCTCGCTGGAGCACGGGGAGCGCTAGATCTCAGGGACCTTCTAGGAGGAGACACAGGGGTGAGAGGCGTCTGGGACTTCCTCGGTTGGGGCACTGGAGGATGAGGAAGCACCAGTTCGGCAGAACAGTAACCCACYTACTCCAGCCAGAAAGGATCGAGCTCCGGATCATAGTCCAGATCGAACTTGGGCTCGCTCTCAGGAGGGGCCGCTGCTTTTTTTCCGCCGGCGACGGTGGTGCCGTGAGGAGCCGGATGAAGCGGGCTTCACCACCAGACGAGTCCCCCAGAACTGCGTCCTTGCTCTCTRCTCCTCTTCCTCCACAAGGAGAGGGGACGGGAGGAACTCTATCTCCAGATCCCGGTGATCATGTCTCTGGCTGGGTTGGAATGGAGCCATATGGAATCCACCCACTGGGATGGAAGTGGGTTGCTGGACCTGCTGGGTCCTGGTCGCAATCCGAGTCGGACTCTTACCCCATTCACCAAACAGAGCAAAAAGGTTTTCTTTTTTTCAGAAGTCCATAAAACTTATCCTCCCGGTGGACTCTTGTCATGGCTGGTTCATTCTGTTAGGTTTTGAGGTGCAGAATGAATCCAGATCCGGACGGAGGATGAAGTTTAGTAAAAAGATTTATTTTTACAAAATAAACAGCTGACAGAGCAGCAAAGGAAAACAAAATATGAGGAGGCATGAGGAACACGAGGACAACCAAACAGTAGGTAAAAACATGTAATGAACCAGCGAGGAATGAAGAGAAGAAAGAGGTATTTATACAGACTGATGACAAGGGAAGATGAACAGCAGCTGAGAGAGAGGTGTGTGAATACTGAGGAGGGAAACAACTGAGGACAAATGATGAGTAATGATGCAGGGAAGAAACAAGAAGGAGACTACAGACAAAACACAATCCCAACACATGTCAACTGATCTGCGGCCATATGTTTTGGACACTCAACTGAAAAGAGGAGATGAGCTGTCAACTGATCACCTGGAAGTGGGTGACCTGGTTAACCCAAACATATAGTGAAGGTTTGCTGGGAGTGCCTGGCAAAAATCCCTTCAGAAAGATCTTCAACTCCAACCTCCAGGAGAACTTTAACTGCATCCCTGCTGAGGTGAGGGARATTAAGTCAGAGTGGACCATGTTCCAGACCTAAATTGTCGAAGCAGTTGCTTTGAGCTGTGGCCAAAACTTGATCTGTGCTTCTCACAGTGGACATCCTTAAACTCAGTGGTGYACACCCTGGGTCAGGGAGGCTGTCAAGCTAAAGAATGAGTCCTATCAGTCCTTGTTGGTTTGTAGGACTCAGCAGGAGTATCAGCAGGCCATGTGGGCCGCAGTCCTGGCCGT